CTCTGAACGGTCCCTTTCTGACCCCTTTGACCTAATCAACATGAAACTGTGTCCACAGACAGAAAACATGTTGGTGTGTTGAGGGTTCCAGCCCCAGCTGGTTTCAATCCAGCAGGTGGGCGTGGCGGCGTGACATGTAACGCCGTGTCCATACGTTTGTCTCTAGATTCCATAATTTTGAGCCCAGCTGCACCAAACTTGGCATGATCCTGGTTGGATCCCTTATGATCCCATATCGTCATAGTCTGATGTCATCTAAGCCCCGCCCCCTCAGAACAGGAAGTGCCTTTTTTTTCCTTGGAAAGCTCCATCTCTGGCTCTCTCGACCTAATGAAGATGATTCTGTGTTGGAATCAAACTCCTCCTACAACTTTTGAGATACAGACTTCAAACTCACTCAGAACACTCTTGAGAGATGGAAGGTTAAAAGTTAAAACAGGATTTTTTGTACATCAAAGCCTGTGGGGGTGGCTAAGCGCCAAACTTTGACTATTCACCATAAAACATCAAGATGCGATAACTTCCACATAGAAGGTCACAGCTGCATAAGACTTCCTATGGCTGACTATAGACCAGCCCTCGTCACATTTAGGTGGTCAAATGATTACATCACCTTAGCCCCGCCCACTTCCGACAGGAAGATACCTGTTTTTTTTTCTGCTGTATGTCTTACATTTACTCTATGATTCATATGGGTTTAATCCGGTGCCAACTGACATAAAATGACATGATGATGAACTCTGTCGATGCTGCCTGAGCCATGTGAGCGTGGCAAAATGCCAGGTTGTAGTCCCTCGCCATCTGCATACGATTGTCTCTAAATCACACATGGAACATCCGATTGGCACCAAACTGGATATGTATGACCTTTATTGACCGCTAAAGAGCCCGACAGCATTGAATTGTAAGTTGACTCCACTGCGCCCCCTAGGTTATTCCATCACCTATATCTCCTTGCTACATCGGCCGATCTGCACCAGATTTTTGGTGAGTTGTCACGGAGCGCTGCCGAACTCATCGATGTGTATGGCCTGGCGGACGGGTGCGGGAGCCCCCGCGGTGGCCAATAGGCCGGAGCAGTGCTGAGCTGCGAGGGCCGCTCGAGGCTGCTTGCAGCTTTAATTACTATTATTATCACTATTACTACCAGTATTATTACTATCATTATTTCTATTACCGCTAGCATTATTACTATTACTACTAGTATGGTTACTACCGCTACTAGTGCTTTCACTATTACTATTACTACCATCATTATTATTATTCATTATTATTATTGCTACTAGTATATTGCTATTATTGCTGGTATTATTAGTATTATTTACTTTTACTACTAGCGACATTCATCCTTCATCCGGGGAGCTTCGACTAGGGTTACCACATGTCTATGGGTTACCAAGGGACCAGCCCCAATACATTTAAAGCCAGGGGGAGGAAGAGAGACAGAGACTGCGGCGGCAGTGTGTCGGTTGGTCTGTGTTACCCAGAAAGTAGTTGGGCACAATATCGCAACACCAACACCGTGAGTGAAACAATGACTGGCGCAGCCTACTACATAATGTACTCGGGGACCACTTTATTATTACGCATCCACATTTGTAGAGTACGGAACAAATCGCGTCCTGTATCGGGACGGGTGGCAACCCCTAACTGTAGCGTCTATTCAATGCGCCTTATAGTGCGGAAAATATATGGAGTGAAAATAGTCTCAAAATATCTGTGCGTGTGTAAAATGTTTTATGCATGCGTAACAGGATTTGTGCGTTTGTAAAAAGATTTGTGTGTGTGTGTAAAAATATCTGTGCGTGTGTAATACTGGATTTGTAAACCTTTAAAATAAAAGAAACCTTCTCCTACGCCTATACATGTTGAAAAAGTACACACAAATCACCTGGTACTCATACACAAAACTGCATTTACACACAGATCCGGTTACAATTGCACAACTATTTTTGAGACTCATTTCACGCTTCCGGGAAGCTCCCAGATTTGTGTGTAGATGATGCGTTTACATGCTAGTAAAAGCTGGGACATCTGAGTTTTGCTCGGAGTCTAGTGTTTTTATCCTCTGACGTTTCTCACTGTGCCGAAGTGGCAAATACGTTAGTTCGTAGAAAACGGAATATATCAGCACTTCCTTATAATATCCTAAAATTATTTCTAGACATATTATGCATTTTTGAGCGGCACAGGAGACTAAGTGGTCTGAAAAAGGACCACTAGGTGGCGGAATGGTTCGCTGGACGGAAAAATAGCCAGGCAAACCCAGAAGCAAGACGGAGCGTCCCGGTGGTCTGTCCTCTGAAGTAAGTAGGAGCTAAACCTGCAGGCTTTGCCCTCCGATTATAATGAGACATGGAGTAATTATAAATGATTTCAGGTTACGTTTTATATATCTGGTATTTGATACTCTGCCCTCCTCATATGTTTCTGTTAGTCGGAGCTAAAGTTTATGTCAGCTATGCTACTTTAGCTGTTGGGAGCTAAGTGTGTATTTTTACTGTCACTCTGCACAGTTTGAATCTTTAATCCATAATAAATTATCTCTGTGTGGTTCTTACAGTATCTGTTTTGCCCAAAAGTTTCCAGTCACATTTCTAAGTCAAGTTGCTGACTGATATTTGTATCTATTTGTGAGATATTCTGATTTGCCTTTTACTTTATTCACTAAGTGAATATAATTAAGTGAAATAAATTGCCTTTCTATTCTAGTTTATTGACTTTCTGTGTATAAATAACATTTTATATTTAATCTCTACACAGGATGAAACGGCTGACTGATGGATCAGGTTCTGGTGTTATTTCAGTTTCTGGAGGACCAGGATCTTTCAGATCTCATCTACCTTCTGATCTGATGGAGCTGCTGCAGGAACACACTGATCCTCTAACAGGATCCTCAGATCCAGGCATCGATGTCTGGTGTCCTGCAACATTTAGATACGTCCTGGTCCAACACACCTGAATTAAATGGCTGCTTAGGACAGTCAAGTCCTCCAGAGTCGTGCTAATGACCTCTGACCTCATGATTTGACTCAGGTGTGTTAAAGAAAAGACATTTAAAGGTTGGAGGACACCGACCCTTATGAACTGGAGTTAAAGCCCTGCTGTACAATTTTCACTTAATCGTAATTACATTTATTTGCGTACAGTGGAAATTTTACCTGTGTTGAGGTAGATGAGTTTACATAGCGTCTTTACTTTAAAACCATTTTGGTTTCCATTTGTTGAAAGTAAATTACAAACATTTAGCCATAGTTTGACCACTGCTTTATGACAGAAACAAAGTTTGATGTCACAAATATATGATTTTAATAGAGGCATCATTCAATTTATACTGTAGAAAGAAGATGATAAAAGTGTTTCCTGAATTAACTTTAATGTTCATTTCACTGCACACAAAGGACAGATTAAATATTTAAGATTGCAACAAATCTGTTGAATCTTTAACAAAATAGGTTCAGATTAACATGGGTGGATTCACAGCTACCTAAAGTTAACAATGAAATGTCTTCAAACTTACATGGATGTTCAAATATTTACTATAATCAATTAACAAAAGAAAACACCATAAAGCTGTGTATTCAAATACGACCAAGGTCAGTCTGTACAGATTGAGGAGACACCATAACATCTACCAACAGAGCAGGTTAACTACTGTAGTTGTTTGAAAGGCGTCTTGGTTCAGTTGACGGCTCAGTTTGAAGCTTCAGGTTTTGGTGTTGAACCTCCTAGAATCTCAGCTGCTGCAGATTGTCTGAAGATGCAGAGAAAAGTACAAATAGACAGTTAGTCTACAGTTATGTTGATTTTCCTGAACAGCTGATGCACTGACAGACCTGACTGTGACAGAACATTACCGAACCTGAAAATTACTTGAATAATCACAATGCATGTAGAATTTTTTCTTTTTATGTTGATCAAAGGTTTTACATTAAATGTTTTGTTGTGAAGGCTATTTTTGCAGTGGTGCTTTAAATAAATGCATAAAATCTTTATTTTCTTATGTATGTCTATTAGCTCTCAATTGTGTCATAATATCAATCGAGAAAGAAATTTACTGCTTGTGAAAATCTAAACCATCTGAATACATTTTACCATCTACATTAATCAACTTGAAATGAAGACGAACAGAAGCAGCAGGTTTGTCCTGGTTTGCAGACGAGGTATATATTTGTTTAAGGGCCGATGAAATGGGGTCCAGACACAAACACAGTTTAATCTGAAGATTCTGGAGGATGTGTGAATAGGTCTGTTACCATGAAAAACAATTACTGTATAAGTTGTTCCAAAGTTCTCAACAAATGATAATATAGTTCTTTTGAGACCATTTTTTTAAATGATATAATGGTAATGATGAAATAATAATGCAAGAACACATTCTCAAAAGTCATTAGACTTTAAATTCTAATGAACATTTAACACTGGAACTGGAAGACATTTTTAGTATCCAGAATAAATAAAACTAATGAATTTTGAAGTCTTTAAACAAAATTGCTTTTCAAAATAAGGTCTAATCGAGACCAAAGTACCAAACTGAAGATTTTTATTATCCAGTTTTTGGTACAAAGAGAGAAAAAAAGAGAAACAATAAATCATGCCAATGGAAATGATTGAGTTTAATCATCTGATTAATTGATTTATTTATTCTGACAGGCCTATGTGTGAACATTAGACTAAATTCTTAAGTATGTTGAAAAGTCAACATAAATGAACCTTTCAGTTTGTTATGGTGAATAAAGTCTAGCAGCAGATGATGTTCCTACAGGTCCAAATCTACCTTCATTACTGCTGAAGCAACAAAATACGGTTTCAGTGATGATGACCAACATCTATAACTGTCATAATCTCCTGAAGATGCTTGTCGACTTCGGCATCATAAAACTTAATCAACCTGGTTAAAGTTAAGACTGAAGACAGACGATCAAACTGTGTGACAGTAAAAATCCAC